GGAAGGGTTGCAAACATGACCACTTGTCAACAACGCTTACTATAAATACCTCCATCTTTTCTTTTTTAGGAAATTAAAGTTCTTTGTTCTTTCCCAGTACTGTACACAGTTCTATGCAGCCATATTTTTAACAAAGAAACTATCCATAAAACCTTATTTATATTAGGTATATAATATGTTTTACCTAAGCAGTGGGACAATGTTTCAGCTTCTGTAACAAATGTGTCATTAGATTATAAATTACATTTTATACAACAAAAAATTATATTTAGAATTGGAGTCCGCTACATTTGTATAGAACGGGACTACCTACGTCGACAACATGCTGCTGGAGATGTAATAAGGGAAATGCTTCTTTGAAGCACATGTTTATGAAATGTCTGACACTTACAAATTTGTGGAGGAAAGTACTAGGATGCATAAATACTACATTAGGAAAATATTTAAAATTGAAACTATATACCAACTATAAGGGGTTTGATGATGGGCCATATTGTAATCACAATTTTATGTATTTTTTATCTTTTTTCCTTTCACTTTACTTCCTCACTGAAAACTTGCAATAAAGTATGAATATAGAACATATGCTTATTCATTACTCATATGCAAACAGATTTTACAAACATATCTTCAATAACGTGTTTTTTAATTGTTTTTTATTGAAAGATTTTCATGGATAACAAACGCACAGATAGTGCCTATGTTTTCAGTTCATAGAATCTTTTCTATAGGTCAGTTACATTCTTAATAACATATTTAACAATAGGTGCAGTCTTAGATACAGGAAACAAGAACCTGAATGTAAGAATTTTTATGTCACTTTGGGAAATTGTTTTTAGCAGTAATGCTACCAACAAGTTTATTACATAAACCAAGAGTCAAGGAGAATATTTCTATCGCTTTCAATTCCTGCCCAGATTCATAATTGCAGCTCCACAACTCTGATGAAAAGAATATGAGCAAGTGAAAGAATGATGGTGTAATCCTTAAACATATCTACTCAGAAGGAAGTCCAACTGGGAGTTGTTACCTAGTAAATGCACTCAGTAGTGCAGGCTAAAATAAGTGAAATCCTACGTATCTAGGCAAATACCAAGACCTCATTAAATTTCAGGAGACTCCTGGACTGATTCCAAGAAAGGACACTGAATAAATAACCCCAATCCCTTTGTTCATTAATAATAATCTTATATGACAAACCTGTATAATAATAATAATAAAATATTGTATTATATTTCAACATGAAATTATCATTAAGTGATGAGTTGTTTGAAAGTTACCTGGATTGAGCCTTCCATAAAAGTTCCTCTTTATTAAAGATTTTGTACCTTGTCATGAACTCTCTATATATTCACACACTCACACTTAACCACTGTTTATGTTTGTTTGTTTGTTTGTGCATGCATGATGTATCATGTCCACCTTGGTGAAGAAACTTACATTTTCCAAGCCTTGAGTAAAAACCTTTTAGATGCCAGCAAAGAGTGACAAATTCGTTTCCTTCCCTATTACACCACAAGTGCACACCCCCATATTTTCCACATTTATGTATCTGGAAAGCAGTCCTCAAAGTAGTGTCAATGCACAAAGTTATTAGAATAAAATGCTTTCCCCAACTCAACTCAACTCCAACCCCACCTACCCCCACCCCCCGCATTAAAAAGTCTTGTTCCATTTGTATTTTTCAGTCCTGTTTACCAAAGGTAGAACTTCCACTGCCTGTGTATGACTGAATTTGAGCCAGGGCTCAGAGAGAGAACCAGCTTGGTCATACCAGGACCATCATACAGCAACATCCAGATAAAGAGTAATGAATAGAAAGGTGTTGGTTCACATCTGAGAAACTACAGCTAGTATTCATCATCTAGAAATAAGAGGCAAATTTTTGAGGGCAGAGGACTTGGTTTTTAGATAGATTTGAGAGCCAGCTTCTCTCTTTTAAAATAAGCCACTATGCCCAGGCAAAGTTCTAACTTTGTGATGCTGAGCAATTTATCACCAGCGCCACTTGACAGCATCAGGAGGAATTCCTGATTTGCCAGTGATTTAAATTATTTCAGTCACCAAGCAGAAAGCCGTGATTTGAACTGTTTATTTTCAACCATTTCCCCATGAATCAGTTACAGTAGTGCCCCGCAAGACGAATGCCTCGCAAGACAAAAAACTCGCTAGACGAAAGGTTTTTTCGTCCGCGAGTTGCCTCGCAAGACGAATTTCCCTATGGGCTTGCTTCGCAAGACGAAAACGTCTCGCGACTTTGTTTCCTTTGTCTAAATAATAATTCGCAAGACGAAAAATTCGCTAGACGACAAAAATTGCGGAACGAATTAATTTCGTCTTGCGGGGCACCACTGTATTTTCAAGAGAAAAGACTGTCCTAAGCAGAGAGGACTTTTTCCCCCAAATGAACACAAGTGCTAGACTAGATTCAAACACAATCTGATGCACGTTTTCTCAAAAGTCCCACTTGGTCCAAGAAGAGTGCACAGGGGTGCAACATCAGTCCATCTCCAACAAGAAGCTGCAATAGGACACACACGTTTTTGAGCCATTAGTGTAGCTTACATTCTCTCCACCCCCTGCTAGAACTGTTGTTATTTAGTATGATAAATCATTGTTGATTCCCCAATATTAGTAGGCCCCCACCAACAGGGTCACCTGACTGATGGGAATGATATTACGTGTTCAGAGAGAACAACAAGGCACAAGGGAGCAGTGCCTTCCGCTTCCATGGGTGGAGTTCACAGGTGGGTTCTGAGTAGCTCCCACAGGGAGCTAATACACACTTAGTCAGTGGCCAGATTTCACTGTCTGGAATGACTTTTGTCTTTAACAACAGGATGTGAACCTCTCCCACCCTGCTTCTAGAGGGAATAAACTCATTCCGACTATAGCTCAGTACAGGCTGACATTACTGTTTAGCCCAAGCAAGGACAGAAACATGCTTAAAATGATTTGGCAGTGGCCAATTTCAAAATCTGGCTGCCAGTGTTTAGCACAGGGCTCCCCCCCCTTCTTTTTTTTTTTTTTTTTTTGGTGGTGAGGAATGGGGCGGTCACATTCCTAGGCACACAGCATGGAATTTCTAAGATCCTGGGCTACCAGGCTCCTGGGATTTTGCCCACCATTAACTCAGAGAGCCAGAGTCCCCCAGCAACTATTCTCAAGTGACAGCTTGCAGCACTGGGAGTGGCATAAACTAGCAAGGAAGGAAGCCATGTTAACCCCTCCTCAATCAGTGCACAGTCATACTAGGAGGCTACTACAGGCTAGAAAGCAACACAGGATCAAAGGGAAGGATTAGGGGTCCCAAAGGGGCAAGAATATAAAGCACTCATCGTTCTATGCAAAAAACACACAAAAAAACCAAAAACCACCCACTGCTGCCGCCTCCATGACCCTCCTCCCCTAAAGCCTTTCAAAACTATAACAAGGGAATCAGGGGCACTGCTATTCTATGCAATTGCCAAAAGAACAGCAGCCACCTAGATCTGCGGCTGTGAACAAACTTACTTCATATCATCTCCGACCACTCCCTAAATTGCAGATGGATGCCAGAAGAGTAAGTGAGAACAAACACAGAGGTACTCAGAGTCCTGGCAAAATAAAAAAATAACCAAGCCATAGAGCAAAAGACTCTGGAAGGAGGAAACAAGCAGGCAAAGGAAGAGTCAGAGCAGGCTTCGGGTTTTGTTTTTTTCTGGAAGATGCAATGCCCCTCCCATATCCCCCTTTGCTTGGCTGGCAGGAAGTGTTTACAGAAAGCAGAGACCACGCAAACCTAGGCAGGGAGGCAGGCAAGCAGGTGATTCTTAACCCTCCATTAGCCCCAAACACTGTCAGACTAGAGGACAACAAGCACACTGTGCTGGGGAGGAAGGGGAGCGAAGAGAGAAAGAGATCACATAGTCAGCCTACTTCCTTGTGTGCAAACAAGATGTGCAGGTCCACAGCTTTTACAGCTTGTGGTACGAGGTGGCTACTAGACTAGGACAGGGGGTGACAGTATTTCCCCGTTACCCCTTCATCTGCACACAAGCATCACACCATGCACCTGCAAATCTCTATGCGGGGATCCCTAAAGCATGGATACGCAAGCATCCAAGGTTCAGCTTGTAACAAGTGAAGGACTAACAACAAAGGGGAGGAGTCAGAAACCTCAGAATGAAGAATACAGTACAACCACATGCCTGAAGAATACAAGAGGCTACACCCCTCACCCTCGAACGGAACACTGTCACCCCTGCCCTCCCCGTCTACATGGAGACAGGCGCACCCCATTGCAGGCTGATATTCTCTCTCTCTCTCTCTCTCTCTGTGTGTGTGTGTGTGTGTGAGAGAGAGAGAGAGAGAGAGAGACCCACACGAGGCCATTTTCTCAATACACACACACATCCACTGTTGCTTCCTTGTCAGAATGTATGACCTCACGCTTCCCTCAAGGCTCTTCTTTCCAAGGGACGCCTCCCAAACTTACCGTCAACAACCCACCCCGACACACACACACTTATGCCCTTGACTGACTGACTGACTATACTTGGGCGTTTAAAATGCTACCGTGGGGAGCGGGGGGCAGAGCTGGACTTCACCGTTCACTTTGGAAACTCGGATTACAGCTGCGTTCCAGGAAGAGAGCGCGTCCATGGCAGGCGAGCCCGCCTTTTTGTTGGCCGGCAAAGCCCAGCTCTGCGACGCCAGGCTGCCTGCAGCCAGCAGCTCTCCCCGCTGTCCCCACACATGCTCCCTGGGACACGCCGCCGGAGCCACTGCAGTGCTTGCTGCTGCGAACTACACCCATCGCTTGGAACGTCTTCTGAGCAGGCTGCGAGGAGAGACGGGCGACGCTCGCCCCACAGACTACTGGGCACCCGGTTGCCTTTCCTGTTCTTTTGCTGCTGCTAACAAATTACTTTTCCAAAGAAGAAGGCTCGGGGAATGCACTGCTCCCGCCCACCCACAAAACAGCAAAATAAATCGGGGCGGGAAGGGGTTTTACTCACCGTCTGCTGTCCCCCCCACCACGAGGCTACTTTCCTTGCAAAGGCAGTAGAGTAAAGCTGCGCTTTTCTCAGGGGAGTCAGTGGGGCTTTTTTTTCTTTTAAAGGCAGCGTGGGGAGCAATGCAAAGTTTGCATGGGGGGAGGATCAGACCCCCGGGATAGATCCACAGATCCTTGTGTCCGTTTGCCTGCAGGCGGCTGGCTGCTCCAAGTCAGTTCCCCGCTGGCCCGATGCAGTGGTGAACTTTCCACCTAGGCGGCGGCGGAGCCCCCTTCTTGCAGCGCCCTCCCCGCATTGGCACCCAGCATCCAGGCGCTCTCTGTGCTGCGGGAGGGCGGGGAGCGGCGGCTGCTACGGCGTCGGCGTCGTCAGCCTGGACAATGTGTGTGTGCGCGCGAGGCGAGCCCCAGGCAGCGAGCAGCACACGCCCAAACTCCGCTCGCTCCCCGCCCCCTCGTCACTCACAGCCTCCTCCCGGAGCAGCCGATAGGCGCTTGGGCTGAACCTCGGCGCCCCCCGCCGCGGCCTCTCCGCTCCTCCGACCTCGTGGTGGGCTGCGGGGCCTGTCAATCACGCCCCGCGCTCCCTTCTCCCCGGGCCCCGCCTGCCGGCCGCGCTGCTACTGCTTTGGCCTGGGCGCGCGGCGAGCTCTGAAGGGGCTTGGAGAGGAAACGGGCGTCGCGAGCGGCGAGCGGGGAATTGCCTCTTCTTTTGCCACGCTTATTTTTAGAGCTCTCCGCTTCCTCCAGTCAAATGAAGCCTCCTCTCCTTTCTTCCGGGTGCAGCTCTCTCCCTTTCCCGCTCAGCAACGCGTTTCCTTCCATTCCTGGCTCCCCCCGCCTTAGTCTCCACTCTGCAGGCTCCGCGTTTGCTTCCCCCACCCCAAAAGGCCCGCTTTCTGTACGTGGCCTGGCTGTGCTCTGTCTCCCCGCTCTCCCCGCCTTTTCTCTTTCTCATCCTGCCGCCGCCGCCGTTGCTGCTTCCATTGGGCGCCTGTCCCCGCGCTGTTGTCTGTTTTCCCTGCTCAGGGGTGGACGGCGTGAGCTGCCAGGCTGTGAAATGGACAGGACGCGGGAAGACCGCCTCCGCCCTGGGGGAAAGTCGTAGTGGGGGTCGCACAAAGGAAGGAAACGAGGGGTCTGTCGCAAACTCGTCGTGTTCTCCCAATATTGGTCCAGGTCAATTAATTAAAAGGTTCCCCTGCATGAAAACGCAGGTTCCAATGGTTCTTTTAGAGGACATTCTCAAAAGTAATCAATATTTAAGTTTGTTTTTTCTCCAGAAGCTTTCGTTTTGCCGTAACCTCCACCCTACTCCTGAAAACATAAGATTCTGAATTAATTCCCATAACCTTGAGTGTGAGCATTCAAGCGTGGTTAAATTAAAGCACGATAAACTAGGGCAGAGGGAGGTGTATTCTTTCAAAGCATCTTTATGTAAATATGCTCACCAAACATATGCAGAATGCCCATCAAGTTGGCCATAGTGTGAGCAGAGGAAGGTCATTATTACACATCCATGGACTTCACATTCAGGCTACAGCTTAAAGTTGAGTACATATGGATAGATAGATAGATAGATGATAGATAGATAGATAGATAGATATAGATAGATAGATAGTTAAGCCTGCGGAATCGTGAGAACTCAGCAACATGATTGCTCTTACTCTACTTCAGTTAATGTGCATAGCAGGTACGGATTTTTTCTCTTCCCATAGAAGTGGTTGATAGTCTAACATTTGGTGGTCTAGCATTGGGATGGAGGCTTAAGTTGTCCTCTACTCCCAGTGCCCAGGTGTGGGTCAAGTTTTTCTGCCTTTCAACCAGGGCCCAGATTGCCAACACTTTACACTGTCCCATAGCAGTTAGGGGGAGCCATGGAAAACTAATTGTACTCTTGTTCTGCATAAGGTCTACCCTCTGTTCTGTTTTTTGGCCAAGCTAAAGTGTCAGAACTCAAGAACTGGCTTCAGTTTTATACACTGAGTGGTAGAATGATGACCACTATTATGACAGCTGAGGGACAGAGATAATGAATTGCAATGTACTATTTAAAAATTATACAGCATAGGTATTATTTATTTCAGTAAAATTATACCCAATTCTCTTCCATCATGGAACTCATTGCAGTGTACATGGGACAAAATGATCAGATTCAGGCATGCTTGGTTTCAGCAATGCGGTTGTATCATGTGCGCTTGACCCATTGTGGCATGTACTGCAAGACAGCAACCTAGATAGCAGTCTGCAGCTGCTACAGGGTTCCAGAAGGGCAGTATGGCCATTGGAGAGAGCCAGAGAACCATTGTCAGGTGTAAGTGATTAACCCTTCTGTACCATCTTGCAGCTTACTAAATTTTAGTGCCAGTTGCATTTGTTTTCACACATGAAGCAAAAAGTCAAAACGGTACCTTTCCCCATGTTCTTAATCGCATACAAGCCAGCCCTATGCAGACATGCTAGTTAGCCCCCGGCCCCTCAGCATATTAGAGGCTGTTGCTGTCTTATTACCCACCCTTTAACATCAGATCCCAGGGTGGGTTAAAATTCAGTGTTAAAAACAAATTAAAATGAATTACAGTCACAGGAGTGGAGTGGGTCCTGGAAACACATATTTAAGATGTCAAAGCCCAGGGTAAAAAATGTGTATCTTCAGCATGTGATGGAAGCTATATAATGAAGGTTCCAGACACACCTCTGGGGAAGGAATTCCATAACCAAGGAGCTGCCACAGAGACTGCCCCCTTAGCTGATCTCAGCACTTAAAAGGGAATATAAAATAATAAAATTTTATTTATACTGAGAGCCAGTGTGGTGTAGTGGTTAAGAGCGGTAGTCACGTAATCTGGGCAACTGGGTTCGCGTCTCCGCTCCTCCACATGCAGCTGCTGTGTGACCTAGGGCCAGTCACACTTCTTTGAAGTCTCTCAGCCCCACTCACCTCACAGAGTGTTTGTTGTGGGGGAGGAAGGGAAAGAGAATGTTAGCCGCTTTGAGACTCCTGAAGGGGAGTGAAAGGCGGGATATCAAATCCAAACTCTTCTTCTTCTTCTACTGTATCCTGCCCTCCCCAGCCGGGCTCAGAGCGGCTAACAACAGTAAAGGTAATACAGCTTTCTAAAATCAATTCATTCTAAAATAAATTCAAAATCAAATTAATGGCAACCATAGGGCTAGAGTTCTGTGAGGATTACCAAAGGAGGGGGTCAGGCTGTGCCTTGGCCAAAGGCCTGGTGAAAGATGTCAAGTCCCGCAGGGCCCTAGTCTCTTGTGACAGAGCATTCTTTCAGATATTTTGTGCCTAAGACATATAGAGCCTTAAACACAAATGTTTAAATTTATACATTGGACATTCCATTACAACAGGGGCCAACTCAAACCAATGTGCATGGGCTTCACTCATGTTGAGAGCTATGCAGTGGGGCGGACCTGTGCCCATGTGATTTCTAACATATGGCCATTGGGCTCTCCAATGGGGTAAGGTTAGCAGAGTCATACCCACCACCAACAACCTGTGTACAAATTAAATATCTGCACAGTGCTATAGAAAGATGGAGACGAGCATAGACATAGCCAGGAATTATGGGGGGCAGGCTTTATGTTAATGGGGGGGAGAACCAAGTTATCTGCGACACAATTGGTCAGTTAAGTATTTTTATTTAATTACTTTATATAGGAGGGCAGCTGCACCCCTGGCTACACCCATGTATTTACATCCATGTACAGTACTGGAGAAAGGGAAACAGCAGCCTTTCTGTAAACTGCAGCCTTCAAAAAAATGTTTCTTTTTCAAGTCTTGTACAAACAGGAACACCCTGTAAATTCACCCTTCCTCCCACCCACTGATGGAACAGATCCTCACACAAATTATAAATGAATAGTCACATCAAGAGCACCCAATAAAATAATTAAATGAAGGTGTCTGTCCATAGTCTGCCACTGTAGCTCATGGTTGGTAGCCACGTTCCTTTGTATATATGCAAATGAAATAAAGTCAAACCAGCCTGCTTCACTTTATTGCATGATAAGGTTTATTGAGTTCCATGAACCTCTTATGTTAAAGTAGGTTATACTTTTATATGACACATTTCATGTAATTATTATATGATGTAGTACAATAATCTGTTAATCATGCCTCAGTATTACACTGCAGGCTATTTCAATTATTACAGGCTGAAAGTAAGGGTTTCATACTTGAGGTTTTGTTCCTTCTATGCCAAGGCAACATGTAATAACCTATGCAAATTAATCCACTTTGTGCAAATTATCTGGATTTGCCTAAACTTGTATGATTTGTAGAACTTATGCTTAAACATTTTTTATCTTTGTTTTTGTTGGTTGGTTGGGTTTTTTTAAGCACTACTGTAGTTTACAAAGGAAAGATCTGATGAACAGCAAGGATGCTTGGGTAGAGGAACATTGCTAGAGGCTATAGAAAATGATAGCCGTGCAAGACGTCAATGAACAATGGCACTTTTGGCAGACACATCATGATTTCCTATATAGGTTTGCAACCATGAGAGCTAGAAACTTGCTTTGTTTTCTGAAAGCTGGGTCTAAGATGTTAAGGCAACAGTCATATTTACAAAGGCACAGATTGCTAGATACCAGATTGGGTGAAACAGAATCACAAAAGAGAACTAATGACTTTAACCAAACCTTATGGGGCTCATAATCAGCAAGAGTTCAGCCTAGTGAAAATACAATCACAAGTGAGGTAACAGCTGTTCAATCTGTGACAAACACTCCTAGGGCTACATAAGAAAGATTTAGGAACAGTTTATGAAATGAACTCCCGAAGCTTCACAACATACACTAGACTCAGCTCTATATAATTTTACAAACTCTTTTATTAGCTAGTGTAGTAGGGACTGTTTGCTTCAGTCACTTTGGGGCTCCCCTAAGCCCTGCTAATCGGAGAGGGAGGTTGCAGCATTTGCTTGCTTGAGCGGATTCCCCTCCTGCTTGCTACTCACAGTGATTCTCTTTGCATCCCTAAGGAGCGCATAAAATATTACATATGCCCAAATTACAGGAATGCATGCTGACGACAAATCGGGGGATCTTAAAACTACAAAACCTCATCACACAGGTTTTGCTAAATTCTGAGCATATATTTCTTGAGAGGTGGCATGAATATACAGAAGTATATTTGCCAGAAAGATAATACAATGGTACGAGTTAAGAACTTACCGCATTTTTTTTGCACCATAACACTCACTTTTTTCCTCCTAGAAAGTAAGGGGAAATGTCTGTGTGTGTTATGGAGGGAATGCCTACGGGTGGCATGCCTACGGATTTTCCTCCTCTAAAAACTACGTGCGTGTTATGGTCGGGTGCGTGTTATAGAGCGAAAAATACGGTAATTTGTTCTGGAGGTCCGTTCTTAACCTGAAACTGTTCTTAACCTGAGGTACCACTTTAGCTAATGGGGCCTCCCGTTGCTGCCGCACCGCTGCTGCACAATTTCTGTTCTCATCCTGAAGCAAAGTTCTTAACCCAAGGTACTATTTCTGGGTTAGTGGAGTCTGTAACCTGAAGCGTCTGTAACCCGAGGTACCACTGTACTATGTACGGTAATATGAAATATGACTACTACTGCTAATACTAATTTGAAAACAGTCCCAGAGAGTCTGATGTAGTAGACAGCATCAGACCCTTTCCTAGTGACTATTCAAGGCTCAATCATGCAAACAAAAATTTCCCTTAAAAAGTATTTGGCCCTGAACCAGGAATTTGTGAAGCTCTTTGATTCTAAAAGTAGTGTTATTTTTTTGTGTGGAACAGATATATCAGGGTAATTAGTACTTTACTTCATCTAGTTGTGGGATTCTAAGGAAGGTAGGAGAGGATAGATTGTTTTGATATTATCCCTCCTCACTCATGCTAGTGAGTAAACAGCAAAGCACATTCCCATTGCAACTTACTGGAAGCAAGTTGATGATTTGTTAGGTAAAGGTAAAAGGACCCCTGACCATTAGGTCTAGTCGCAGACGACTCTGGGGCTGCAGCGCTC